GACCTATCACTGTCCCAGCAAAAGCCAGGCCTGGGCCTCATTTTATTTGTCTGGTTTGGGTGTGCAGTCAAGCTCAAAGCCCTTAAAAAAAAAAAGGGAAACCCAGATCCTTCCATACCATTGAGAAATAAGCCCACCGGAGCTGGCAACCTAGTGCTGAGTTAGGGTTTTGTAACTGCTGACAGGATCCTAAATCCCAGAGATTTGGGATTTGTTTTTTTAAACCAGGGACCAGAAATTTGAGTGGAGGACAGAGGACTGCTCTGGCAGCTCTTCTAGCAATTTTGCTAGTGCCACAAGGCCAGTAATCACTTGTACTACAGAAGATCCAGACACATGGATCTGTGTCCCCGTGTACAGCCCTAGCACATGCCTACAGAAATCCTCCACATACCATCCAGCTTTAATACCCTTTCCTATTCTTAGCCCAAGCTGGTCTTCTTATAGACTATTACTCAGCTATGTACTCCCTGTTTTTGGCTGTCCTATATCCCTCCCCTGGCCTGTTCCAGCCCCACGAAGCCAGCCAACACCCCCTGTCTAGAAATTTCAGGGAAAAGCAAGTAAGCGATCCACAGCACTGAGCTTACCAGGAACTGCTGGGACATAGAGAGCCAGGACAAGCCTCCTTCCCCTGGACAAAACATCCCTTGGGCTGGCTTCTGCTGCTTACAGCAGCATCAGGCTCAGCCCCAGCTCGTACACCACACTCACCTGGCAGAGGGGATGGAAAAAGCAAGATAGCAGGACTGGAGGCAGCTCTGGTATTTGTCCTCTCCCAAACTGCCATCTGAGAAGCAAACGACAGCTCTATCTCCAGGAGCTGCAGCAAGGCAGGAAGGTTTCAGGAGCACGTACCCACCTGCTGATATAGGGCATCATCCAGAGCAGCTCCTGAGCTATGGGGCTGATCCCCACCACCTGCTCTCCTGGCCCACAGCTGTGCAAGGGCATTTTCTGATTAAATTGGGGGTTGAGGAGAGAAATGTCCTTCTTAATAAATCAGAAAGTCCCATTTTAGAAAAGCCTTTTGGTGTAAGAGTCTTCCCCTCAGCTGTAAGGGGGCTATAGGAGGCAGGAACCTTTTGTAACACACACGTCATATAATTTGAATCAGTGAGTAAAGATGAGTCTCTTCTCAATAACTTTATTGTGTTTCTCAAGCTGTTAAATCCCAGGTCTTGCCTGAGATGACTTGTTATTATTTTTTTTAAATCCATGCATTGCCATGGCTTTGTCATTTGAAAACCGCTCCTGCCCACCTTACTCTTCTTTTTTTTCCTTCTGCTTTTCTTTATGGTAGCAAAACAGAAAAGGCCTCGAGGGCTGGCAGAGCCTGGGGACGGGTGGGAGTGAGAGCCAGGAAAAACCTTGACTGGGGCCCTGGAGCCAGCCCCAGCAAGCATAGCTGCCATAAACTGAGGTTTTCAGCTTTAAATATTCATAGGTTCAATGGCCAGTGCCCCCCCCCCTTCAAATTCCCATCCCTCCTATGACATAGAAGTATTTCAACTCTGAAATGACCTCACAAAATCCTCTGAGAATTTAAATAGTTGGAAAATATCCAGACTGGGCAATATGCAATAGCAATATGATGCGCAGGTTATTTTTCCGGAGGGTGGAGGGGGCTTTTCCAGCTAAGACTAAGGATGTTGTTGTGGAGGAGAGCCAGCCCAGGGGCTCTGGGTAGGACCGGAGGAATCCAGGCACAGGGACGGTGCCAGGGAGCCCGGCAGCAGGGCATCAGCAACGTTCTGGAGTACGGAGACCGCATTTGTATGCTACCTTCTTATTTTGAAGCCGGTAGGGAGCACGACTCTGCCCCCGCAGGCGGAGCTCCCCGGGGCCAGGAGCGGGTGCCCGCGGCCGTCTCTGCTGTCCTCCTGCGGCCGCGCCGGGGGCGCCCGCGCTGCCGCTCGCCCGGAGCCGGCCTGCTGCCTCCCAGCTCCCCTGTGCCCCCGGGAGAGGGGTCTGCAGCCGGGAGAGGGGTCTGCAGCCCCTGGCAGCGGCACATCCCCCAGCCCACGCGCGTGTTTGCCGTTCGTTGGCTGTGCGCCCGCCCAGCCCCTCTGGGAGACAGTGCCCATCCTCCCCAGGCCCCGAAAAACACGCGGTGAGCCTGGCTTTAGAGGAAAACCCAAGAGAGTAAGTTCCCCGAGTACCAGGGTCGTGCTGCGATTTGCACCTATTGCCTCTACCCTAGGAGCGACCTGCAAATGCAGTTGGAACTGGCCGGGGATTTCCGAATACACCGTGCCCAGAGGGGCGGCTGCGGAGGCACTGCATGGGAGCCTTGGGGCCTTCGCAGCCCCCCCGCCAGTCCTCCCCTGGGTGCCGCGGAGCCCCTGCGCCCTGCTGGGCACAGGGCTCTCTCTGCTTTGGGTCTGTAAAGCACGAAACCCTTTCACCGATGGATCCACACTGCTTCACCCATGCGGGACTGCTGTGTCCCCACGGGGGAACGAAGCAGCACCCTGAGCACCAGGGCGCTCGCTGTAACGGTGTCTTTGTGCCGCGGACATCTGCTCCCGATGCCCCAGCCCAGATGGCCCTGCGCTGAACTGGTGACCTCAACGGGAAACGCTCCGGCTCCCGTTTCCATCCCGGGGGAGCTCGAGCCTCCTGTGGCCGCATCTGGAGCTGATGGCAACTGCAGGGCGGCTTTGCCAGTGGCCGGGGGAACGGCCAAGCAAACCACACGCTGGGAGGAGACAGCAGCTTTTCTCCATCCTCCCCAAGGGCTGTCCAGCAGCAGCGGAGCCCTGATTCCTGCTCCATTTCTGGTCATCAAAATGCATAATTTGAAGTAGAGAAGGGTGTATTGAAAGCCTTTCCGCAGGCTTTATTTATAAATCACAGCCCCCCCACATTAAATAAACTTAATTTAACTTGACGTCCCGTTAGTGTGGGTCCCAGCACCACTGTGACCATGTCAGCATGGCTGCAGGGCCACTGGTCCTTGTCACCACAACAGGCTCCTTGGTTGGGCTGGAGAAGCCATGGAAGCAGTGCTAGTCACGTCCCTGCCTCCTCTGATCCTTCAGGTGCAGCTTCTGGATATTTCTTTTGTGGAGGAAGACCAAAAAAAAAAAAAAAGAGGGAAAAAAAGAGAGAGGGTGTCTTCCCTGAGATGCTGTGCTCCTACCTGCCCTCATCTCCAGGAGGAATCTATAACATGCTGACATTCATGCAGTGTCACCCCAGCAAGCACTAAAAGCCGTGTCTTCTTGACTCGAGGGGGGAGAAGAAGAAAAGCGATGTGAACCGAAGGAAAATCCCATCTCCCATGATGGCAACTCACAACACCCTGCCCCTGCAGCCCCTGCTCGGCCTGGCAGGCAGAGGTGGGATGGGGACCTGCTTTGAGCAGAGCAAGACCGATGCAGCGACAACACCAGAGGCAGCTTTACTCAGCAGAGGGAGCTGCTACGCACGAGGGGTTTCGGTTTGTACTTTTTTTTAAAGGATATTTAATGGTTTAATGGGAGGTTTCCATTGAATCATGCCCCATAAAATCACACTGTAGCACATCGTACTGAATATAGCTGCACCCTGTGAATGATTGGGACTACTTAAAAATGCAAACAGCAGAAGGGAAACTCAAGGTGATCCCTTTTTTCTATCAAGAGGCAACTGTGTGCTTCCTCTGCTTTGCCACGGAGGGCTTTGCGTTACGCCCAGCCCCATGGCAAACGCCCTGGCTGGCACTGGGGCCAGGGGAGCAGCCTTGGCTCCTACGGTGACGCTGCCTGCGGCTTCCTGCCTGCTGCCGGGTCTCCCCCAAGAGCTGGCCCTGGCAGAGGCAGCAAGCGGCATTTCTGTAGCAGCTTTACAGAAGCAGGGTAGAGAGGAACAGTGCGTCCTTGCAGCTGCTGCCCATTTCCCTCCTTTAACACCCCTTGACAACATCAGACGGGAAGACCCTGGCCTTCCCGACATCTCTATCGCAGTTCCTAGCGCAGGTTCTCACCACTTTCAAGACTCTCAGATGCCCAAATTATACTGCAGAAAATGGATTAGCAGTAGGAAAAAAAAACCCAACAGGAACATCCTAATGCAGCACTTGACCTTGCTTCTGTCGCTCCAAACTCCTGGCAGAGGCATCAAGAAGAATTTGAGGCTGACTGCGCAGCATCCCCTCCTCCCTCCAGCCCATCCTCCGCGGCGCAGCCAGGTATGACAGAGTCACAAATGGATGCGATACATCTTCATCCCTCCCAAAACATAAAACAACCTGAAACAGGAACTCCAAGAGCAGGAGTTCATGTGCATGGATTAGGCTGGAGTGGCGGGTGTAATTGCACCTCATTTGGCTGCACTCAGCAAGGTTGCTCCTCGCATAGAGGTGAGGCTGCTCCGGAGCCTCAGTAGTCAGCACCTCACTGCAGGTGGCAGGCTTGGTCTGGCAGAGGACTGGGAATTCTCTGTGTAGGCAGCCAAGGTTTATTAGAGAAATTGTTAAATCCAAATGACTCCGATACAAAGATAAGCTGCACTGCCTTCTGAAAGGCAAAGGTGTTTCTGACCCGTAGAAACTGATACAGGTTACCGAGACATCAGTGACCACAGCAGGTTTGACAGTAAAATGATCACCTTGCAGTTAATCTTAGTGGAGTCACAGTTTCTTTCTAGCTAGTACATCCAATAGGATGTGTACATTGTGTCAGCACATAACTACCGCCTCTCGCCTATAGCCTTGCTGCCTTTCCTCCGGGAGGTTGCCATCTGTCTCAGCAGCATCTCTTCTGTTCCCGTTCAACCAGAGTGGCTCTCCCCTCCCTCGTTTGCCGTGTTTAAACATCCAAAGCAACACATCTCTATGGAACATTTCTAAATTCAACGTTAGGCTGCTCTCGTCTTTAACCGGATGGGGGAATAAGGAGGTGCAGAACTCACAATCTGTTATTAGACCTTTAAACTAAAATTAAAAAGAAAAAACCAAAACCCACTGTTCATTTCTCATGGAGAATTCAAACCCTTCACCGGCGTGTTCCTAGGAATGTTTGTCTGCTTGCAACAGTTAGCATCACGGGATCGTATCCACCTCCCCTCCCTGGAGCACCATGGCGTTGTCTCGTCGGTGGGATGAGGTGTCATAGGGCTGCACACATCAGTGCTGCTGTCCACACGCTCGTCAGCACGAGGCTGGCTGACAGTCTGAGCACACGGCAAGCCTGGAGGGATGGGGAGGCCGAGGTGCAGGAGCAGACCTCGTAGCCGTTTTCTGAGCGGCTTTCGTCGTGCTGCCCTGGTTTGGAGCGTGCCCCAGTCCTGCTGCTCCCGGCTGCTTCTGGGGAGTCGGACTGCATGTCGCTGCACACCAGCCAGTCTCTAGCAATGGACTGGGGATAACCAGGCTGGGCCTCCAGGTCACTGTCCAGCACTTTCCAGTACTCCTTGCCCCTGAAGAAGTAACTTGCACCTGCGAAGAGACCAAAACCCAAAGGCAAGATGAGCGGCGACGGGCGCTCTCCCAGTGGAAAGGGCACAGGAGCACGTGGAGCAGCAGAGGAGCACTCCCACCCCAGCTGAGCCCCGGGGAGCGGAGGCAGATGCCATACCACTGCTTGTTGCCAATACCCTCTCCCACTGCAGGAGCACAGCGGCTGCTGGCAGGACGCTCTAAAAGATGATGCTACACCCAGCCGGGATCTCTCACACCAGGCAGGAGCCACCAGACAGATGGGAGGCGGGTGGCGAGATGTCGCCTCTTCTATGGTGGGTCCTAGAGCAGATGCATCCCCCTGGTACCAAGGGCGTGCGAGGTAAAAGCCCTAGTAAATGCACAGCTGGACACACCATACACATCTCTCAGTGGCCGGCAGTGGACAGCCTTGTAACAGGGCATGGTGAGGCTGAAGAAGACCTCACCTACCTGTTAATGCCCTGGGGTGCGTGCTGCTATCCCTGGGCTCAGATAAATACCCTGAGCCTGGCGGGGCCCTGGGAACCTTCGGCTCTTGGGTGCGTTTTTTCCACTCTGAACTGGGAGGTTGTGAACTGGGAGGTTGTGAATTCTCTAAGCAGGTCCCGTGCTCACGGAGGACTCCTACCCACGTGGATGGCCGGTCGCTCTCAACAGCTTCAGGAATTCAGTTTGAAAAGCCTCTGGAAATGTCCCTCCCCTCTGCCTGGTTTATCAGTTGCTATTACACTGTTAGGTCGCCGGTAAATAAAACCTGGAAGTGCCACTTTGCTGTGAACGAATGGCTGGTTTTAAACATCTCCCGTGACAAAATTTTTGTGGTCTTTTCAGAGAGAAGAAGCCACTGAGAAATCTCATCCCCGGTAAATAAGTCGTAACTCTGGGGAAAACATCTCCTTCAAAAATATTTTCTGTCTACATCCTCATATATCTAGCTAAAAATCCAATGACAACAAATTCAGTGAAGAGCAAACCAGCACGTATTAGGATAAAAACCACTGCAAAACAACATCAACTGTGTTCTTTTAATAAAATCAAATTATTAGGTCCCCAGGATATTTTTGTTGCCTGCTTGAAATTACCATGTCTTTTAGCGAGCCGCACGCAGCACAGGGAGCTCTGGCTGGAAGCCTACTTCCCTCTTCAGCTTTCAGACACCAGAAAGCATCATCCCATCTGGGGCTGAGCAGTTTATGTCAGCAGGCACGGTAGAAGGGGCTATAGCTCAAATGCAAATGAAGCACTGATTTTTTTTCTTGTGTTTTTTGAACCGGCATACGGACTCACCATCTGACCACCTCATGGCATCATCTAAAGGGCTCGGTATTCCCTTCCACAGGGTGGTCTCTGAAGGGTACCCAGGATCCATCCTCCGCTCGTGGTCATCGTAGCGCCAGTAGAGATTGTCCTTAAAGAAATAAGTCTTGTCATTGTGGGCCCAGGAGAAAGCGGCGTCGATTCCTCCCGGTGGCAGACCGAAGTCCGAGATCGGCCGTGGGTATCCTTCCTCCACGTTATTGTCTTTGAAGACCCAGTACCTGTCTCCTGTGGAAAGGAAAGAAGCACAGAGCAAAATCACATTTGTTTCACAGCCGAAACCAGCATTCCCCCACAGACGAGCTGATGTTTCATTATCTGTTGCCGTGACAATCCTCAGGACTGAGATCTTGGGATTGAAGGATGGGGACGGGAAGGCAGCAGCCCGGTGGGGAACCTCGATCTTTGAATAGTTGCTTTTTTTGTGTCAGGCTCTCCATGGAGCATAGCCCTGCTTCCCTCCTGAACTGCTGCAGGCATGACGGTCCCGGGACACAAACACGCCGACAGCGTTAGTACAGTTGTCGCTTTCATGTATTTGGTGGTGGCATTTGGTTTTCCGCCCCTTTGATTTCTGCCTGATATCCAACTGCAAGAAACAGAAAGTTACATGCAGCTGTTGTGGGCAAATTGAGCACTATCTGCCTGCTATTCAGCTCCTGAGAACCAAGAGAACCATTTCTCTTTGGAAGAGAAATCGCCACACTTTTTAGAGCCAGCTGGGCTGACGGACCTGTGAATTTTAAGGGATGTAAGGAGGATGCACAGGGGCTGGACAAATCCCATCTGAGCAGCTCACTGCTCTTCAAGTGCTCTCTACACAGCCACCACCAACCCCCGGCTCTGGCCCTACCCTGGGCACGGCAGAAATGTCAGTATGGTTTTTTTTTTTAGATAAAAACGAAGCCCCTCACTACAAGAAGGACGTCGAGGTGCTGGAGCGTGTCCAGAGAAGGGCAACGAGGCTGGTGAGGGGTCTGGAGCACAAGTCTTATGAGGAGGGGCTGAGGGAACTGGGGTTGTTTAGCCTGGAAAAAAGGAGGCTGAGGGGAGACCTCATCGCTCTCTACAACCGCCTGAAAGGAGGTTGTAGCGAGGTGGGTGTCAGTCTTTTCTCCGAAGTAACAAGCGATAGGACGAGAGGAAATGGCCTCAAGTTGTGCCAGGGGAGGTTTAGGTTGGACATGAGGAAAAATTTCTGTACTGAAAGAGTGGTGAAACATTGGAACAGGCTGCCCAGGGTAGGGGTGGAGTCCCCATCCCTGGAGGTATTTAAAAGATGTGTAGATGAGGCGCTTAGGGACATGGTTTAGTGGACATGGTGGGGTTGGGGTGATGGGTGGGCTCGATGATCTTAGAGGTCTTTTCCAACCTCAATGATTCTATGAAGCACAACGTGACTGGCCCACAGTCATACGAGGAACGAGAACAAGAAAACCAACCCAGATCTCTCAATTCCTATGTGATACTCTAACCACCTGGGCAGTCCTTCTGTTTGGACAATGTCTCTCTGTGAACCTGCAGTGCCCTTTTGGGCATCACACAGCCTATTTTAAAGATGAGGCTTTTTCCTCCCTCGGTTTTCTAGAAAATCTGAAGAGGCACTTAAGCACGTGCCCATATATCAGCAGCAGGACCTTAGAGGCCGGGGTAATTTGTGTGCTTTTGTTTTTGTCCAGGGATCAATGAAACAGCGCTGGAGGGAGAGAATGAGACAGTATTTTATATCTGGAAAGAAAATCTCAAGTTTAATCTTAGGAGCTAAGCAGGACTAACACACACATCGTGCGTGGCCACGGAGCGCCGTGCCTTGCAGGGGCAAGACCCCACCTGTGGCAGAGCTGTAATTCTGGCCTTACAAGCTAAATTTAGTCAGCAGCCGGGAGGAACCCCTGGACCTGAGCTGCCGGAGGTCTGTCCATTCCCAGCAGGGAGAGGAGGGAAGAAGGGAAGGAAGCGAGTGCCGCTGTGGTCTGCAGACCTGGCTGGGAGGGTCTGGTGCCAGGCGTAAGGGCTGCCATGTTCCAGCTGGCCCCACTCCCTCTGGATTAGCAGAAAGGTAGAGCGGGGCGGGCTGCCCGAGGCAGCCTTTTGCACGTTGTTCCGTGGGGAGACGCAGGGCTTGGCACGGCTCCGCGGTGCTCAGCACGTGGGCAGCCTGGAAGGGCTTCGGCTGCGCTTCGAAATGCTTCTGCGAGCGCAGAGGCTTGCGCGGGACGTAAGCCTTGCTGGAGGAATTGAAACCGAATTATTGCTTTCAGAAGTGCTTGGTTCAGCGCTTCTGAAGCCGGTAATTGCACCATGCTCGGAGCAGAATGGTCGGGAGACAAAAAGCAATTTCCAGCCGGGGAGCACGGAGGGCTAGGATGTATTTAGCTCTTCAAGCGCACGACCTTTCAGAAAGAGCTGGTGCCTGCTGGGGGCTTGGGTGACATTGAGCACATGGGTAACGTCCAACCAGCATGGACGGACGGTTCGCAGGGGACTTGGACATTTGTGTAGGAACCACAAGCTAATCTCTTTCCTCCAGTTCTTCTGAAAGAAACTTGTGAGATGTTTTTAAAAAGAGAGAGGATTATAACACTTATTTTAAGAAAAAAAAAAATTGTAACAGAAATATAATTAGCAAAACCAAGCTCTTCAGGTTTTCATTTTTGTCCCCTCTGCAGCTTCTTCACTTCTCTGCAACAAATACTAAAAAGAGAAAAGGCTGAAGAAGGAACACAAAACCTGTAAAGTGTGTGCGTGGGCGGGTCCTGCTTTTATTTTGTTCTTGAAAAGCAAAGATTTCAGTTAGGTTTGGCTGTAGTTTTTCTTCAGTGGCATTTCCCCCATTTTCTGGGGAACACGACTGCTACTTTTTGCCTGCCCGCCCTCCCTCCAAGCTGGTTTCTCCTGGCCTCGCTCCTGGACAACAGATCTCGGACCTGCCCTGGGAGATGGCTCAACGGCTGACGCTGGCGTCTCCTGCCTGCAGGAGAGGTCAAAACTCTGCCAAGGTACCTTGGCACTGGGATCTACACCGGGGAGACACACGTGCTGCCTCCAGCACCGCGTTTGCTCTCACCTTTGAAGAAGACGATCTTGTGGTCGCTGGTTCTCTCGTAGACCGCATCCAGGCTGTCCAGGTTGAGTGGCAAGCCCCGCCAGAAACGGTGGATCTGAGCCGGCTGGAGGGAGACCAAGTGCTTATTGCGAGTCAGTCTCCAGAAGTACTTGCCTGGAGGAACAGACTGGACATTACTGAACCACACTGCAACCCACCTTCGCTGGGGGAGATGAGCCCCGGGCACGTGGCAGCAGCAGAAAGCAAAGCGCGTGAGATGGGAGCTATGAGTTACAGATGTCCTGCTTTCCAGCAGCAGCTGCTAGCGCTTTCTATTCATGGCAGCCATTAGAAGAAATCCCCTTTTCGGGATCAAAATAAACCTCTGGACATTGCACTGGAGTCGTTACACTCCTGGCTGCGGTGTGAAGCTGCACCGCTGAGCCGGAGCAGGTGAGAGGAGCCTTTCATCTCCTCCCTTGCTGCTCTGCATGGGATCTCCTGGGACCCGGCGGGACCAGGCAGAGGCTGAAGCTACACCAGGTACCAGCAGCCTTTAGCGAGAGCCTCCGAAGAAACATGCCTGTTTCTCCTCTCCCGGAGCACCCACAGCTTCCCGCACACAGGGTGCCCAGCTGCTTTCATATTTAGAAACGTGTATGATGTTACAACGAAACACGGAAATATCAGAGGGGTTTTTTAATGAAGAAAGGGAGTAAGAAAACAGAGGAGGAGGAAACTATATTAATAAAACTGGAAGGGGTTGAGGAGGGGAAGGAGGCACAATTAAGGGGTTTGGTACCCTCTCGAGGCATAGGATAAGCAGGGGACCTCGGCCCTGTGGCGCTCCCAGGGGCCAAATGTACCGGTGGTGTAAGCAGACACGCTTCCAGCACCCGCAGCAACACTGCCCCAGCTAGAAAAGTTTGGCTTGGAGTATTTCTACAGTATTTTGGGTAATGGAAAAGGAAACAGGCTTGTCCTCTTGTGGGAAGGATGCCAAGCCTTCTCCTGCCGAAGGAGCCTTCCATGGGATTTCCCGAGGAGTCTTAATGATTTTAGAAGCAACTCAAAACCCGACTCTCTGCACTGTCTCAGGGATTCTCAGCCTGAGTTTTTGCAGCGCGCTTCGTGCTGCATTTTCCTCGGAGAGCTCCACACAGTGAGATCTGAGCCAGAGCAAGACGTCTGAGAGCCAGCTCTCAACTTTGTGTCATATTTGTTATTGCCTGTTAGAAATTATTGCATGTTATTTACATCTGCTCTTGCATGGCTTCCCAAGGGGGGATAAGCAACAGAAACCAAAGATGCGTCTTCAGATTTGTATTCAAAACACTCAGCCCTTTCTCCAGCGCCAGCAGATTGTGACACTGTCTTTTAAAATTTTATGGAAATTGGATCTTAGCCTAATAATGCAGGAGGCGAAACTCTAACGCTTAAACATCTGCAAAGAGGGGGTTTTATTCTAATTATAAGGATTTATATCATATTCTTGTTGTTCTGCTCCAGTTTGCATATTTGCTCTATCTGACTGAAACCCACAAATGAATAATACATTCAAATGTGGTAGGAATTGCCATAATTACAGATTCTTTTTAAGAACGTTAGAAAAAAAATAGGATTCAAATTTGGTGGCCATTGTACATCGATGGAAACACATGTAATTAAATAAAGATGATCTCTGCATCTCTAATTAGCAAGGCACTAGATAAAGCCAGATTTTCACTTTTTTAACAAGAAATACAGCTCAACAGAATTCCTTCTTTAGCAGATAAGTATCTGAACTTCGGAGTACCCTGGGCTCATTTGAGACAAGGAGGGAAGCCCCAGTGCTTTTGACATTTCAACCCTTTGCCAGCGATGGGCTCAGCGGGTGTGCAACTGCAGCAAGCAAGCTTTAAATTTACCCTCAAAGCCAGGCACAGCCTGGGCTGTTGGTTAGTTTGGTTGGGTTTTTGATAAGCTATCAGGAAAAAGCAAAAAAAATATAGCAATTAAGTAGCAAGGAATTCTTAACGCGACAGCCCTAGTCTGCCCGTGCCCATGTTTTGTCACGGCCAAGCCTGTTCACCAAAGCGCTGCGGTTGCTTGGACGATCATCAGCCAAAGCCAGATCCGTGGGGGAATTGCTGCCATTAGCATGCAGAAATACAATAAAATTTAAAAAAAGAAAAAAATCCCAACCCCCTGTTTGTTTAAAGAGCTTGATTTAAAACCACCCTCTGAGCTGGCAAACGGAGCAGGATGAAAGCCAAGTGTAGAGTCCTGCTGTCCTGAGCCTCTCCTTTTATATGGATGATGGGTTGAGGCAATTGCTTTCTTTAATACTAGGTGATTTTGATCCCAGCTGTGTGCCCCGCGCTCTGTACTGTGGCTGCCTCTGGCAAGATTGCTTCACGCACCATGCAAACACACACACAGGCCAAAGCTGTTTTAAAACTTCAGGAGTCTGTAGCGAGGCACCTAAATCAAAGCAAGCGGTGTTTCCAAAGTGCGGAGAACCCACGGTTGCCTTCAATACGACAAGCCTGGGAGCCCTGGGGAGCTTTGGTCCTGGTGTCTTTGCGGTGGGAGAGGCTGCTCTCCGGCTAGGGAACCAGCCGGACCAGCTCAGAACAGAATGTCCATCAATGGAAGGACCTCATCACTGGAGGTCATTAAAATCCTGCCCGAAAGGTGACGTCCCTGCTCCTTGGTGCCCAGGACGGTTTGGTGGCAGCGATGGGGGCTCCAAGGGCGGTTCCGGGCTCCAGAGGCAGCCGTGCAGCTGGCACCCACTGACACTGTGCTCTTTACATTTGCATTTTGGCCCACAATAAATATATCCAAAAATAGACACCGAGATGGATTTCTCTTTAGTTTTCATCTTTCCCCCCCTCTTCTAAAAGACAGACAGCCATTTATCCTGGACACCAGTTCTTGTCTCTTATTTTCCCTTCTTCACTGTGGCTTTTTGGAGCTGGCATCTGAACAAATACCGCAGGGGAACAGCCTCCGTATTGTGCTTCCCCAAGGACACAGACAACATCAAATTCTCTGGAGCCCTTTTGCCATTCTTGCCTGTGACCCGAGACTCACACTGTGATACCCAGATGGGTTACACGCGCCCCGACGCTGCTTCTGATCCCTGGGGGAGATGCTTCTGCTTCCCTGCTGGACGGCTTTGGAGTGGCCAAATGGTGGCCAGGGATGGAAAGAAGTGCCCACTAGGCATTTTTCCATCTTGGAAAGGTAGAAAAGAAAGCCCGTGGAGTCCAGCCTAGAGGGGCTCTGTACAGCTGAGAAGTCACTGACGGGATCCTCGTCGACAGCCGGGCACCCTGGGGACACACTGCCAGCAAGTGTTTGCTGACACAGAACCAGATGGCTCTGCAACCGCGCGCATGTTGTCTTTGAGCGATGCACAGCAAGCAGCACTAGGGAAGGTGAAGCGTGGAAGGAGAGGGAAGTTGGAGGCATCCAGGAAAAAAGCAGCGGAGAGCTGTTGTTGCTCTGCTCATCCTCGGTGCGACCCAGATTTCGACTTTGATAGCACAAATACCAGATTTCAGTTCTCCACTTGGGCAGTGCGGTGCAACAGATCAGAGCGTGGTACAAAGCACCGTGCTGGATCGTCACCAGCCCGGCCACTTTAGAGGGAAGCGTTAAACCCTGGCTCCCGGGCAGCCACGCACCTGCCCTGGTGTTAGGACACACATCCTTTGTGGGCACCACACCGGCCATGCACCGCGGCGATGTGGGCAGGTGGGTTTGCCTCCACTGGTCTCTCCTTCCTAGCCACGCGCCAGACCCCCGCCCTGCCATCGGCTGCGTGGGTACCTACTCCGCTGCGCTGAGAGGGACTGGGCAGGAGCCGGGCGGTTTCCTTCTGCACCGCAGGCAGGATTCGCATCGACATTAAAATTTCCTTATCATCTGTCCTCAGCCTCAGTAGGCTGATTAAAGGTCTAAGGCCTGTGATTTGAGCCAAAAGGAGTCAGCAGCATGCGAGATGCCTGCCTGGGTCTGCGGGCCCCGCAGCCTGCAAACCCCGAGCCAGCTTATCCTCATCGCCCACCCCAGCCTGTCTGACACTGCTGCTGCAGCGTTGCACTATCGCACCAACGTCACCGCAGGGTGACGCACGCAAAGACCGCCGGCAGCGGGCACTTACCTTTGAAGAAGAAAGCCTCTCCCCGGATCTGGGCCACCGCATCAAAGTGAGTGTTGCATCTGTTGGGCATGTCCCGCCTGAGCCTGCGGAGAGATGCCCAGGTGAGCACGGCCCAGGTGGGCAGCAAGGGGCCATGTCCTCCCCGGTGTCCCCCATCCAACAGACCGCATCTCTCCTGTCCCCAGAGCCCCCAGCAGAAGACCACACGCTGCGTCCATCTGTTGTTCCTCACGCTCAAACCCAGCCACGTGCATGGGGATTTCCAGGGCGACCTCGGGCAACCCTCAGCCTGAAGACAGCTTTGTGGCAGACATGCTCCCTGGGCCACCAGAGACCATCGCCGTGAGTCAAGCGAGGACATGCTCTACATCTACCAGCTAGCATAACTGGTGAGGGCAGAGCTGGATTCCCGCTCCCTGGTGGCACAGCGCAGCCTGGCTGGCTGCCCCCGGGCAGTGGGACACGTGGCGGATAAAAGCCCGCACCTCGCTCCAGCGGCTGGGGACGTTGCTGCTCTGAGGCTGAGCTCCGAAATGCCAGTGAGAGGTGATGGAACTACAAAGCAGAAGGCAGATGAGACCAAACACAGGGAGATGATGCCGCATGTGAGACAATGCCATGTGATATGTGGTGAAAGCCCCCTGGCAAGTTGCAGCTGAGCTACTGAGCTGCTTTTAACAAGGTGGGTGGGAAAGGCACAGAGCATGAAGGACCGAAAGCGCTACGAAGCCCATGTGAGAAATGATGATTGATGGAGGACAAGGAGACAATGCCGTGAACATGCACAGAAAAGCTGCTGTGGGTGACAGGGAAGCATAAATCTAATTTGCTGATAGAAGGGTTGTGCTGGGCTGCCAGCACCAGCTTCACAGCCCTCTTCGGGCACAAAACGACAGACGTGGAGGTGAACCCCGTCCACCCTCCCAGTCACACACGGGGCAGGAAGAAGGGGTTGGCATGAACAAGTTTCCTGCTCTTCCTGCTGCTGGTGCAAGACAATGGTCGCCTACAGCAGCAGGGAGAAATGCTCTCATGCGTCTAGGTCAAAACACGGCCACACAGAGCCCTGTGGACAAGCTCCGTTAGAAGGTACACAGGAAGAAAGAGAACTAATGGCATTCAGCACGTTCAAGGAAAAGGGTTCCTTAGGACCCTCGTAGCCTTTCCGCAACCCCTGGCAGCTGGGACACCTCCACCAAGAGCAGGTGCTCAGCACCTCTGTACTGTGGGCATCACACCCAGCAGGGCAAAGTGGGATGAAGAAGGTGCTGAGGTGGGAAAAGTAACTGCAGCACAGGGATATTTTTTCAAGATTAGATTCTTCTTGGTCCCATTACTGTAGGAATAATCCGACTGTTCGTGCTTCAACCCTGTTATCCCCTCTTTGCAAATGGGGCATCAAGGCACAGAGAGATGAAGTGACTTCCTCAAGGTCACACTCCAGATGGGGGCAGACCAGGAGGTGAAGGTGACCTGCTCCATCTCTGCTGCTCTCACTTGGGGTGTTCCTGGTATCTGGCAAAAATGTGTGTGACCATGAACTCCTGCCTTTTTGTCCAGTGTCCCTTCTTAACTGTTCTGCTGCCCTGGTAGTAAAACAATTTGGTAACTCCAACGTTTATTAATGAGCTAGATCCAGATCTTCCCTTAATGAGGGCATGCTGGTTGCTTGATGATACTCAGTGTAAGCAGTCCTTTGCCGACGCAAACCTGCGTTGGAGTCAGGCTATCGGTCCACTTGTTCCAATATTCACCCCCACAGGTACATTAGGGAGTTGCTCACTGTGGAAAGGTTTAGGTAAGTTATGCTTGCACAATTCAGGATACTGCAGAGGAATTTTGATTAAAATTTCAGCAAGGATGAGTTCACCTAAGGGTGATAGGGACAAATTTCCATTAACACGAGTAAAATTTTGAGTCTTAGGGAAATACAAAGCATTCCAAGACGATACAGAATTTCTGGACAAGCCTTGAATGATAAAAATTACCTAAGGGATAGATAGCAACTATCACTTGTTCCTGCTCTTAACCACTTCAGTTGTGGGCTGGCCGGCCGGTCTCCACGCATACTGCTTGAAAAAACCATCTCCTGCATACGCTGTTGATCAGGAGAGGTGAGGAAGAAGGGGGACTCTGTGTGTGTTTTCCAGAAGACAAGAGGTCCAGAGGGAAATACCAAAGCCAGAGTGAGCAGGCAAGATACTGATGCTTAAGTGGAGCTTCGCAACTACATGTCCTTTGCAGGAACAACAGTGACAGCTGAAAAGAAATGAACTTGACTTACGGGACAGTGGAGCGGTTCTCTGGCAGCTCTGGCAGGATAGGATGGTCATCAGTTTTGCTTACTTCAGGTTTGGCTGTGGGGGACACAGATTCCCTGACTCCTACACGTAAAGACAAAGAAGCAGTAGAGCTGTACACCATCCTCCCCACCAGCTCCACTCACCCCAGAAAAGAACTATTCCAGCGTGGGCCAAGGCAGAAATGGGCCATAGCCGGGTGAGGGACACAAACTTACCGTAGAGTTGCCAGATTCGGACTTTGTCCTCGTAAGGTAGGTCATACTTCAGAGGATCCCCCACTGGACCTTGGTAGTAGGGTCTCATGATAGACTCTATGGCAGAGATGTGGGTCAAGCCAATGGCGTGGCCAAACTCATGGACGGCTACAGCAAATAGGTCCATCCCATGAGCGTCTGGAAATAAAGACAAAATTGAAATAAAAGTCACTGCATGCTGATTGTATTTTGGGGGTTTGGGCGGGCTGTAAGGGCTCTAAGAGAAGGTGTATGTTGGATAAACTGGGAAAAAAGCTTTGGAATATGTGAAGTTTGAAAACGAAATTTTTCTCCAGTTGGAAAAAGGAGATTGAAGCGTATCACATGAAAATGGAAAGAAAGCCAGACATCAGCCTGCAGTGTGAGTCCTCAGCCCCGCACAGGCTTGGGGATCGCCCCGCTTATTCCCAGACCACTGATGGCACCTGAGAAAGAGCTGGACAAACAGCTGTGACAGTCACCTCGGCACAACCGTCCGTCATCCCCGCTAACTGGCGGTGCAGGAGCTGGGCCAGAGCAGTCATCTCCTGTATCTCACGTCTGCCCTGCAGCAGCTGCAGACACAGTCTTTGTGATGCCCAGAATACCAAATTTCTACAGCCACTAGCCAGAAGCTCGTCTACACCTGCGATAATGAGCAAAGCCATGTGCCAAGGAACTGGTGAGCGCCCGGCAGTGCCCACCTGCCCACGGTGCTCTGCTGCTCGGCTGGGCTTTCCCTGCCTGCACAATGCTGGCATCGCACGCTGCTGCCCTGGCCAAATCCACCGCGAACACCTTCCTGCATGCATACAAACGCAGAGCTGTTCACCTGCTCGTCGGCCGCCAACCCTGCTCATCTAACTGCTGCCCTGACAGGGAACGGCAGAAGGGGCAGGTGACCACGTTCAGCTTGTTTCCAGAGGACTTGCCCGTCTTCTCCCCTTCCACGCCTTGTGCTGGCGGGGCTGCAGCTCCAGGGTCTGCTCCTTTAGAAACACTGATCCTCACGCACCACACTGGGCATCAGGGAGACTTTATTGAACATTGATACCTCCCTCTGATGATTTTTTTTCCCTCAGTTGGGCGCTCTCTACTCTATTCTCTTTCTCGAAATTTCCTTATTTGCAATCCAAACCCTAGTGCCTCACACCGCACCCACACACAGACCCATCCTTCTAACGAAGGGTCCTCTCCAGAGCCTCAGACACTCAGGTCAGATCTCAACAGGGGTTAATGTCTGCTTCCAAACCTCCACCACTCCTGCCAAAGCAAAGGAAGAGCTCCCCTCAGGAGCCGTACGGGACTGATCCTGCTCGGTGCTCTCCCACCACCCAGCTCCAGACCGGCTGGGTGAAGCACCCGTGCAATTGCTGCCCCTCGCTGCACAGCAATGCCCTGCAGAGCAATACCAGAGGGCGGCAATGATTTTAAGCACGGTTCTTACAAAGATCACGATTGCAAGCACTGTAATAAAAAGGCAGTGAGGTTGGAAAGCCAAGGTCTGCGCAGAGCTCAGGGGAGCCCCACGTTCCCTGAGCCATGCTCGGGGCCAAAGGAGACGTCATGCAGAAGCAGCCGTGGCTGATCCTGCACAGTCCTTTGTGCTCCCCACCGGGCTTAGGGTGTTGGGGGGGGATATTTTTGCTGAATTCTGCTTTTTCCTTGATGACTATTATTTATAGTGTCTGTAAACAGCTGGGATTTTTATAACCTGTGCTGTTTTCCCCGGCACTAGGAGAGAACAAGACATACGCTTTCTGACATTTTAATGCCAAACTGACAACCTTGGGGATATTTTTATATCACCTAGAAGTTGTTATTTTTGAATCACTAGGGAGAACGAAATAAATAAAAGATGAAGCTCGGATAGCTCCAAGACCTTCAAAATAGAGGGCAGTTTTCTCGCCGTCAGGCTCATCCCCTTGTCCCTCGGCGATGCTTGGAGGGATCCTCCCTGCGGGGCTGCCGGCCCTGAGCCCGCTCCTCCACGCGAGCCTGTTTCACAAGGAGTGTTCCCAACCACCAGCCATAAAACAGGCACCACTCCTTACTTCACCACGTAACACATCTGCTACGGCAAGCTACCAGACCTCAGCGCTTGCCTCTGCCCTGTATGTCTGCAAAGCAGAGCTGCTGCTTTTTTTTTCTTCCCCATAAGACATCGGTTGGGGTTCCACAGCGTCATGAACCAAGGAGCAGGTTGAATCCTGAAGAATCAGCCTGTCCAGACCTTTAGCCTTAACACCGGACCTCCTCCAGCACGTCTGGTGAGCACTCCTGCCCACGAACACTCAGTGGGGATGGACGGAGGTCAACCGGTGGGAAGGGAGGCGAGGGCTGGGGAGAAAGACGGTATTAGCTGGTTTCAGAGAAGACAATCAGGTCTAAACAAAATCATTAAGCTGAGGCAGCAGGAGCCTGCTGGGAGGCTGGCGGAGGAGGTGGCGTGACAAGTAAATTAGCAGCTGGCGACTGCAGAGGAGACACTCTGTCAAAACATGCCCGACACGAAGGCTGGGGACCTGATCCCCACAGATGGCTCGCGCAGCTGAGGCACGCTCGCTTCTGAAAGTCCCTCTGCTTATTAAAACTCTGCTCTAGCCAGACGAGATGAAATAAAAGAAAAAAAACCTGTAACTTTTAACCATCCTGGTGTCATGTAATGGACACGAGATGGCAGGAAAAAATCCAGTGTTCACAGGGGGCTTTTTCCCTGCAGACCACAGGGCCCTTTCCAGGCAGGTCAGCTAATAAATATGCTTTAAAAATAGGAAACTGGGGCACGTGGCAAGGAAGCTACCCAAAAGATGGTGAAGTCAGAGACCACAGTCCCCATCCGAGAGCTCCAACAGCCGCACACCCAACCCGTGACCTTCCAAGTCCCAGAAGAGACGGGGACTGGGGGTGGGTGATGGGGAGCTCTGCAACTGCCGATACGATGGGGAGAAACAAGGAGATATCATTGAGGCTTCCAGGAACAAAGAAGGTCCTCGATGCTGGCTGCTGTCGTTTCACTAGCAAGGCTGAATGGGGAACCAGAAGGTGTTGGGACCTGCAAGCCCAGGGTGAAGCCGTAGCAGAGACTAAACCGCTCTAGCCACCAGCACAGAAGAGGGGAGCTGGGAGCACATGCATTTGGCTGCAGCTCTCCCACCCCGACATACCTGATGATCGGAAGGTCCAATACTCATCGTCGTCAAAATGGGTGTCTCCTGCCGTGTGATGGTCTCCAGGGAAGAAAGCATGTGCCACTGTCCCACCAGGTCCATCAAAGGGATAGCCATCGTTGTGATCTGCCTTGGAGAAGTCTATCTGGATGTCGGCGTTGTTACCTGCCACTTCGTGGAAATTCAGCGGGGTAATGTCGCTCCAGACCTTCAGGGCGTAGTACATCAGGGCTCGGACTGTGTCGTGGCCCAGGTGGGACTCTTTCGGGAAGGTGCGAACTCTGAAAGAAAGAGGGCAAAAAAGAGGATAGGATAATAGCATAAAAGATCTTCTCCAAGGACCACCAGGAAGGGCTCTGCATGTGCCTGCTGCATCACAGAGCCCCTGCGAGGCCTCCAGAGCTCATAGCACACTCCAAAGCGTGCCCACATGCTTTTTAGATGTGCATTTAAGTCTCTGAATCACATCGGTTCCAGAGCTATGAGGATTTCAGAGACTGAGTTTGGGTTCTCTGGAAATACTGAGCCAGTCTTGCCCACCAGAGTGTGAAACACCCCACGGGTATGAAACACAACCAGGATTTGAGTCCTGGTACCTCCCGATCCCGCTGTACCAGGTGGCAGTCAGCCTCAGAGCCACGCTTCATGCACAAACTGCTGTTAATGCCCAGGACTACTACCCTTGCCCAGCCTTGGAAATGCCAATGCCATCAGTCCCTTTCCAGAGCTTGCCCATTTCTTTTTCCAAGCTCCCTTTCAGATCTATCAACAATTATTTTCTCACCACTTATTCATTCCAAGTGCAACCCAAATATGCGAAGATTATTGACTTCTGAAGCCTTTGCACCACACACAGGCCCATAAGTTTTCCTGCAACAAGCAGCAGGTCATTCCTCATTCTTATTACACGCACATGGAAATCCAGTAAGGATTTGCTGCCTCCATATATTTCCCAGCATGTCTGCTGGAGGTATAAAATATACTCTGAAACCAGTACACTGCCAGCAATCTCTGAGACTGCAATCCATAACAAGGAGGAAGAGGAAAAGATGCATTTTATGTAAATCACATTCAAAATGCCTCCAGCCTATTGCCTGCAGTAGACGGGCTATCTGATGGAGCACTGTAGTTGAGAAGCTCTTGCCTTGCTTCTTGGTGGAAAAAGCATTGACGAGTGAGGGCTTACAGCACCGCTTCACACATCACAGGGCTATTATGGTTTCTGCGTATCAGCACGGCATCCCTTGGTCCCCGGCTCTGCCTTGCCCTGGAAGAGAAGCCAGGTAGGACGAGCCGTGTGCCGGCGTTTGCCCTGCAGCTGCGTGATTCAAACCTCCCTTTTGGTCTGAGCTGGAACGAAAAAAAGTCAATGTTTCCTGTAAAACCAAACCTTGAAAAAGAATTCCTAATATTGTTGATTTAATAGAGGAGGTGAAAAGACAAAGATGCAACAAGGCACCTTGGCTTCTAAAAGAGTATGTTTAGATAATCTTTCATTGACAATTTTGACAAAAATAAACACACGCCAGGAAAACGTACTGTTGACTGAGTAATAATTGACAAAAACCAATTCTGCTGGAAAATTTCTAGCCAGCTCTACGCCGGTAATAACGGATACTTTATTTCTTGGGTACCAGCACACCAACCAAAGTGTTCATGAAATATTCATGGCTTGACAGATTTTTAAAGGCTGAAGCAACAATTACGATCACCTCACTTGCCCTCCTGCATAATACAGCTGGGAGAGCATCGCTCAGTATTACACCGCTCCCCAGCACCAATGTGAAGTAATGACCTGACTAAACCCCTAGAGATAATTACAGGTGTCAGAAAGCTCTGCCTACGAGTAGTGATTTGGGTACTGGGAGACACCATGGATTAGCGAAGGGGAGCGGGAACAACTTGCTGACTGAGGTTGGATGCTCTTGCTTTCCCAAATATTTGCATATATCCCATGCCCTCAGAGACACGCAGCCCAAGGTGGGTACCACCTCCTGACCTGGGCAAAACTAGTGAGGGTCGAATCCAGGACAGAACAAAAAGGGACTCATGCGAATGAGCAGAAATCTCACTAACGGTTCCTCTGAAGAGCTTAGGAACCCCACCCTAGAGACGGTGGGAATGAGGTGGGTCGATCAGGCAAAACACATCACAGCCAGATGAGCAAATATCACTCTCATCTACACCTTTGCTATCCCTAAACTATTATGGGCAAAGAAAGACCTTAACTACTAAAACCAAATGACTTGGCATACATGTAGCATCAGATAATCGTAGGACTTCAAACAAAACACACTTGTAGAGAAGACAGCATGGAGGTACAAACAGTAAGAGCATGGGGTTAGAAAAGACAGTTTTCAGGCAATTTTTAATTTATAGAAGAGACTGTGGCTGGATGTAAACCTCTACAGTACAAAAAAAAGGCCACCTGGTTTCCAGATATTCTTTAACTAGGTGTCTTCATCTTCCACAACACTCCTCTGGACTTACTTAAACCCTTTGCTGCTTTAATCTCTACTGAACAAGTCATTATACGTGTAAAACACACCATATTTAGTCCAGGAATTACAACCTCTCTCCAAGATCTTGGTGCCTAGGGCACAGACTCAGATTCAGGGACAACATCTGCTCTTCCCTCCTCAAGCCCCACTCGACCGTGTGAGCTGCTTTCCTTTTCTTTCCCTCCCTTTCCAGCTGTAGAATGAGGATAATAAATCTGATCTCCCTCGTAAAAGGACTGTGGATGAAAAGCCCTGCCTAAAGAGACAAACATTATTAACATTCATCCCAACCCCTGACTCCAGAAACATTGGATTAAGGCAGAAACAGTATCAATACTTATTTTGCTTCTTATAAAAGGTCCTGCACCTCTGAGCTGACCCACATTTTATTAGCATGCTGCAGGTCTAAGTGAAAAATCCCCCATCCTTTATTCACTACCGTCGTTGTTTTTCAAGAGAATCCCATCAGGGTTTTTCAATTCAGCATCTGATTTGGTTGCCGGAGCTCTGCTAATTGTTTTCAATGAGATTAGAACAAGCCTATTATGCCGATAGGATGTTCGTCGGCGTTGTGTTACCCAGTTCCACTGAAAAGGAGGCACATTTCTAACATCATGCAGAAGCACAGAGGACTAAATGAGCTTCCTCCCACCTTGATTATTATTATTTGTAGTAAATGGTGCTTAGGTACCCAGCGGAGAGCAGCACTCCTTCTTGGATGTTAATCCCTCCTGAGACTCCCCTTACAGAGCTCCAATCGCGGGCAAAAGCCTGATGTGAGTAATTGGAGAGAAACCTCTCTTGGCTCCTGCCAAGCCACTGGGAAGGTGATGAGGACTGGGCTGCTCAGTCCCCGTCCGGCCACCCCACCAACGCGGCCCCGAGTTCCCCGCAAGGCCACACGCTGGGACCCCCAGGGACATCTGTCCCCGCGGCAGATGAGGCAACATCAGCCGTGCCGCTTGAACCAGCGGCTGCCGAGCAGTACACGGTTGTAAGTGGCACAACTGGACGCCGAGGAGAACATCTCCGCTCTGCTTTTAGGGCTCACCCAGGTGTCAACACCGCCACGGAGACAAATGAAAGCTGACTTTCACCCGGCTGCTGCCGGTCCTTCACATGTCCCCCGAGTCCCATCCCAAAGAGATTTTGGGTCCAAGCTGGTTAATAAGTAGAGGCCAGAGAGGGCTGATCTGCCTCTGTTCACGATTGAGGGGCACCCACACCAATGGTTACTTTGATTGTCTTACAATCAAAGTCTTGTTACAAAGACAAAAGCGGAAGAGTATTAGTGATGTATGAGAAATCAATTGCTGGTTAATGAAAGCATTCCTTCACCTTCTGCAGCCCTGAAACCACAGAGAAATAAAATAAATGCTGATAACTACCAAACACAGCAGGCTAAGGATTGCCTGATAAACCCAAATTGATTTTTCTGGCGGGGGGAAGAGGGGACAGTTGAAAGGGTGGATGCTTGCTGCCGTGGCAAAGGTGCTTTCCCAGCCACCCAGAGCCACCCACAGCACAAGCCGTGGCACAGCAGCCCCGATTCAGTGCTACCCCGACACTGCCGCAACACCCCAATGCCACAGGATGAAAGCAGTGGGGTTGTTGTGACAGCCCTAAAGCAGCTCCTGCCCCCCTCGGGCATCTGTCACCCCCAGGCAACGGGGGGCACAGCTGCCTGCGACCAGCTGGGCTTGGGCTGGGAGGCCCCCACGGTGGATGCCACCGATTAGAAGAGGAAAGCGGGAGGATCAGTCCGTCACGGGGCCGGGAGCGTGGTACTGGGGGTTATCCCGGTTGCACACCTTTGCCCAGCGGTACCTGCCCGGCAGCCGCCCCTCCGTGCCTCAGTAAGTCCACATCTCAGCTCAGGCGGCGGCACACCTCCGCTGCGGGTGGGCTCAGGATGCTCCCAGCGATGGCGGGCAGCGACTGACAGACGCCACTGCTCCCCTGCCGCCTGCATTTGCTCCAGCTCCAGCACCCCGCGTCCTGAGCATCGCAGTTTCAAAGACTGCAGCTTTGATGAAGTGGCACCAGGGACTCGTCCTTAACTAAAGATGGATGAAAGTCAGCTCAGTTCAGCACCGGGCTGAGATTTCAGCAAGAAAAAACCTGGGAAATTTAGAAAGCTGAGCTTTGGCAGCTTCCCCCTGCCCCAGGGAGTTCAAAGCACACAGAGAGGGAGCACGGCCCTAACGCTGCATTTCCCATGACTGCAAGGAGACGGCGAGCGCCCGGGAGGAGACAGAGATGCCGGCTATCTCCCTTCTGCGGGGCATAACCAGAAGCAATAAAGCAAAATTAGCAAAAGAAAAACCAGGTTGTAAACGCGAGGGGAAACTCGCTGCAGGCAACGCCCGGC